TCAAAAACATATAGCCTACAGCGTGACCAGTTTACTACAGTTACCAAACTATCAGGTCGATTCTTATGTGCAGTTTATTTTAAGTGAATCAAAAACATGCAACATGAGCAGTTTTTTATGAGTACTATACAAATGACTCTTCTGAGACAGTTATTTTTAAAGAATCAACAACATATGGCACCGCAGCCAATTTACTATAGCCCTATTCGCACGGGATTAGTACTATCTGGGGACCTCGTGTGATTTAGAAATTACCAGACAAATTACAAATTACAGACATGGCCGATTCGCACGGGATTAAGATCACAGACAACCTCCGCAATTATTACAAATAACTAGAGGTCACCAGGTAATACTTATCCCGTGCGAATAGGGCTTATGATTATCTAAAAAGTAACTATTATGTGTCTGGTTTTACAGACAGGGCTTAGATTAAGCCAGGAGTAGGCCTTACTGTAGTTAAATTATGACATTTAAGTACAGTAGCTTTTATTAACGTGCCTTAGAAAAAAAACATTACTGGTGTGCACGTTGAGATTTTAAGATATGTCAGGGCAAGTTGCTTTCAGTTAAGACAGCTTAAAGGGGTCATATAATGCCATTTTTGTACAAGCTAATATGATTCTTTAGGGTCTAAATTAAAAGTTTGTAATATACTTTAATTAAAAATTCTCATTAGTATTGTAAGAAAACACTTATTTTACCTGGTCAAAAACAGCTCTGTTTTCAGCACGCCGTTTCAGTGCATATGACTTTAAATGATCATGAGCTGTGCTCACTCCACCCCTCTGTTCTGCGCATACACCGTTTGTAACACAATAACACAATAACCATAACGCGTTGTTCATTATAAACGTGGGATTATGAATTATATTGAGAACGTTGTACATAGAAAACATGCTGTAATGTACCCTGAGTGTAAACCGACGCATTCATCGTGAAGCGTGCAGCTGGCGATTTGCAAAGATTATATAAATATTAATATAAAGATTAATAAAACGTTACACTCACTTTAGTTCTTCTGAAGGTTCAGCAGGAAGACGAATAGGTTCCGATCCTTTATTCAGGTGCAGCTTCTCAGCAAAACCAGCTTTACATTGATCCTCGTTTATAAAGCAGTCCACTGAGAAATGATTCGCGCAAACATGAGAGCATTGACGTTGATCGTGGGGAATATTCCCTTCGAAAACAAACTCAGCCACTGCGTCTTCAGCGGTTCGGATTTAGGAACATTAAAATGACTGCTGTGTTCGTTATTACACCCAAGAACAGAACACCACAATCGCTTAGACGCCATTCTGCTCATAGACAGTGCTCCAGCATATCAACAATGACCGCGCCGATCCGCGCAGACTATGATTGACAGGACGAGCGAGGGCGGGTCTGTGTTGAAACTCCTGTGCTGACTCCTGTCAATCAACAATCGTGGGAGGGGCGTCCGTTTTATTGACGTCACAAAAACGAACGGCTCAATTTGAGGCAGGGGAAAACATATAAGGAGATTAAAACAAAAACACTGGATGGATTTTTATCATTATATGATGGTTGTGCACAGGCACTGCCAACACACATTTCAGTACAATCAACTTGTAAAAGTGCATGTACCATTATATGACCCCTTTAAACATGCATTCTATTCTGGGACTACGTTTAAGCCTTGTCTGTGAATCCAGACAATCATTCTTTTTAGTGAATCAAATACACACAGCATGAGCAGTTTACTGTGATCACCAAACATTTGACTTTTATGAGCCATTTCTTTGTCAATCCAAAACATAATATAAAGATACCAATTATTAGATTGCATACTATGGTACATAAATATGATGATAATTCAGTACAGTGGTATATGTAATGGTGACATAACTTACATGGCATTCACCAACACAGTACTTTTTCTTTTCTTTTTTTGTCTGAGTGCAGAATGTAAATGAGCACCAGTATTTAAAGGAGGGAGCTCAGAACTGTGCACCATTTATGTCAAGAGCCGCCTCTAGATAGTTGGCACTGGTCAAGCGACCTGACAGTGCCGTATAATCAAAATAAGCTGTCAAATTCAATGAAGCTCAGAATCTGCACTTAAAATGCTGTCACATGTCATGAACTCCGAAACTGCTTTCAGAGCGCATCTGCAGTCTTTAGCCAACTTTGCCTTCCACAGCGGAGGCAGAGGCATTTTTGACAAATGAGTCAACTTGATATGCATTCCTCCAGCATTTCAATTGACAAAGAATAGGCTGCACTCTGTGGTCTGTGGGAGTTTTCAGGGACTGTGGATGATGTGAGATGTTAGAGAAATGGAGAGGAGAGTACTGTACCCCAGGTATTCATTTCCTTTGTTATGCCCTTAAGAAAAGCATGCCAAGGAAGCTGTGGAAAAACAGCTCCGGTAAATATAAGATCAACAACAAAACAAGATACTCTCTGAGGAGGCAGGGTGGAAAATGTGGGATTTCAGTGTTATCCGGTTGTTTTGTCAGGTATGATATCATTCCTTAAATAGATGGCAATATTAAGTGCTGCTGATAAAACCTACACATTTGTGGAGTAAAAACAGCAGGGTGACAAGTAAACTAGAGATTTTGTTGGGCTTAGCATGGAATAACTGGCTGTATTTTTTTTTATTCATCCTCTTTGTTCATACACAGTAGAGACCTACTTTATTGTGCAACAAAATTAATGTATATATCATCTTTTAATTTAATTAATTAAAATGTAATCATTTACACAATATTGCTGTTTTTACTGTATTTTGGATTAAAATAAATGCAGCCTTGGTGAGCATAAGAGACTTCCTTGGGATACGTAAAAAATTCAGATCAATTACAGCCCATAATATATAGTTCTCTCTCTATGTCGTACGCTAGGCTCAGTATATAAGACCTTGAGAAAAATTATGAAAAAAAAAATGATTGGAAGAATGCAGGTTTTGTGAAGACAGTTACACGGATTAGTGTCTGATTTTATGCGTGAGGTAAACAGCCTGGAGTCCTATTGGGATCAGAGCAATTGAGCTGCAGTAAGCAATCATAAATGACAAGTGATCTAATGAGATACTGCAGTGGGACGGTGTGCGGAGGAGGGCATGTGTACGACACTTCAGAAAAGAGACAGTATTTCATAAATTAATGATACAGTGTGCACTGTGCATCTGTATGCGCACATACCGTATTATGATAAATGCTTATGCTTTCACACAAACTGTCAACATCATCATACAGACTTTACTTAATATCCATGGTTTTAGTGTTAGATTACAGTCTCTAAAGATTTTTTTTAAGATTAATTTGTTTAAATCCATGTGTTAATAAATAGTGACATTAAGAAGGAGAGTTAATGTGAAAAAATGTGCCATCATTAATCAATGACAGTAACAGTGTAGGGTGAGTTACTTCAGAACCACGTCAGATCAAAAATAATTATTCATCCTAACATCCTCTGAAGAAGAATAATGTATATATATAATTGCACAACTGAAATATCCAAACTAATGATTTTGAGGACATCCATTGCATTTTTCTGTTGGATTAGCTACAGAATTTCATTTTGATACAAAGACCTGACAATGATGTGTAAAATCACAAATTTTGTGAACTGCTGTCACACCATGCTTCCAAAAGTGGTGGGGCGAAATCTAATAGAAGAAAGCTGTTTGTGCTGGTGAAATATTTGCAAGATATTTCAGAGCATTAAACAAAAAATTTGTTTAAAAGGAAAAACATGATTTAATTTTCACAGCCTTTTAATATTAATTAGCTATAAAGGACGTCTTCATAGTTATGGAATTCATAGCCAAGTTATCTTGTGAAAAATATTAATTCTGCAGAATTAGAAAACTAGGCTACAAGATAAAAAAAAATTATGCACCACATTTACCAAGTGAAGCTGACAGATATTCTTGTTTCTTATTGACAAAAGACATCTAGTCATAGTCTATATAGTGTCTGTAGTACACATAAAAAATTATAAAGATCACTTTCAGTATTAAATAGCTGAGGTTATGATATAATATCCTGTCACACTTCATTTTGGGAACAATTTAGTTAGCTTTAACAAAGTAACAGCAACCAGTTTTTAACATCATTTGAAACCATAAATACGTTATGACAATATTCAACATTTACTGCTTTTGTGAGCTGACAGATGTCAAATAGTCTCTTTTCAACAAATAGACTAAAACAAAAGCATTGTAGACATCGTTGAAGTGATTATGGAGTTGAAATTACCCTAGTCAGACTCATTCACTAAATACAAAATTATCACAGTCAGTCATGTGCCACCCGTGGGGAAAAACAAAACACAAACACAAAAAAAACTTTGACTATATATATATATATATACACATACACACTGTTTTTGTTTTGAATGATTTTTTTGATAGTCATTTATTTGTTAATTGTTGATGCTAGTGCTTATTTATCCACCAATTTATAAGTGCTTTATCTCATTATTAATTGATTAATGAGAAGACACATTGAAGACGCATGGAAAGGATCCCCATAAGGGCCATCAATATATATATATATATATATATATATATATATATGTATATATATATATATATAAATACAGCCATTAAAAAAGAAATTCCTGGAGCTTTCCCACAGTATAAAATTCCCAGTTGAGATGGCAGGTCAGACACCTTATTTTAGAATCATAAAAGTCTCCTTATATTTAACACTAGGGTCCGTTAACAGAAATATGCCACTGCACATGACTCACTGCTCTCAGATTTGAAATTAATAATGCATTGGGACCTAACACTATAGAGTCAATTTGCTATTTCTATGGCGCTCTGCAAAGTGAGCATTTTTGGAGAGCTGTGACATGCTGAAATGGGCTTTGGTGACATTTAGATATTGACTCTGGCTTATTGCACAGGCGTGTTGGTTTGTTTTAGACAACTGCATATGCTCAGCACTCTACGGCTTCTGAAGAGGAACAAACAGGTGCATGATTTCAACGATAATAAGGCTTTAAAATATCTCCTTGTTTCCTAGGTAACGGAGACCAGAACGGGGCCTCTTGGATGCAGTAACTACGACAGCCTGGATTCCGTCAGCTCTGTCTTAGTGCACAGCCCCGAAAATAAAATCCATCTAAAAGGTAAGACAGTTGTGGGCAGATGTATTTGACTGTATTTGAGACCACTAAATGTTCTTTAACTGCAGTGCAATCAAGCAAATTACTGCAGACACATACAGTATTAGTGAATTCATGATTCTTACTTAAGAATATACTGAATAAATAAAATAGTAGGTGGGCAAACACATAAATAAACAAACAAACAATAAATAAACAGCACTTTTGAGGTAGATCTGATTACTGGATTACATATTTACATATTACATATCCACAAAAAGAAGAAATTCTTGTTCCCTTTCGTTGTCACTCCGAGTTCCGTCGGATGACGACGAATGGGGGTTTCGCTTAGAAGCCAATCAACTTCAAGTACTTCAAAACGAGCCAATGGCAAAGAAATGCCATGGGTCTGCGGAATTTGCATAGCGTAACTCCGCCTCACCTCGTGAGTATATAAGGAGAACGCTGGCAGCAAACCGGCATGTTTTCGCTTTGGAGCCAAGTTAATCCTTCGTTCCACAGCCATCTCTGTACTGTCAGTTCTTCAGACGAGCGAGATTCTCTGGTGTTGGTGTGACGGCGATCTCCGGCGAGGACGCGCTTCCTGCTTTTCTGTCCGTGATTCGACAGCGAGTGTGTTTCTCCCCGGGCGCTTCAACACAGTCAGAGTTTCTTTTCTCACAAAAGAGCTTGCACGCGGCACGTCTTTTTAAAGATGCCTCGCCCGTGCACTTCTGGTTGCGGTAGACTCGTTGATGACTCTGATGGGCACGAGTGGTGCATAGTGTGTTTGGGCATTAATCACGCTAGAGCAGCACTCGTGGATGACTCATGTTCTCTCTGTGGGAACATGACCATCGCAGCATTACGATCAAGACTCGGTGATCTCGCAAGAGTGAGGGTCCCCTCATCCACACCCCGATCTACTGACTCTAGAAATAGAGCTAGTACTTCGGCTGGTGGCCAGGGTGATCTGAGGATGACGGTTTGGAACAAAGCGCCGACTATCAGTCCGTGCCCAGCCGCATCCTCTCCAGTGCTGCAACCCGTGAGTGTTCGGGGGATTCCGGCGGGATCATCTTCGGGTGTCCCGCAGGTTTCCTTTGACGCTCCAGAGGATGACGCGATGTCTATCGCAGCATCACAAGGTGGGTCTGAGTCTTCTGGAAGTGAAGACTCATCACAGCTGCCACCTTCGGGTGTGAATACAGTTGTGCTAGAGTCTGATCCAGAGATGACGGCCATGCTGTCTCGAGCCGCCGCGAGCATCGGGTTAGAGTGGAACCCTCCGCCCTGCCCCGAGCGCTCGCGGCTGGATGACTGGTATTTGGGTCAGGCTGCGGACCCCCGTCCGCGTCAGGCCCCGATGCCTTTCTTCCCGGACGTGCATGATGAGATCTCGAAGTCCTGGAAGACTCCCATGTCTTCCCGTGACCGCTCGCTGATTTCATCCGCCTTTCCTCCCCTCGATGAGGCCGCTGCCCGTGGGTACACTGGGCTCCCCCCGGTTGAACGCTCTGTTGCGATGCAACTGTGTCCTCAGAGCGCTTCTTCTCGTGGTGAGCCTAAGCACCCATCCAAAGCCTGTATGTACTCGTCTGCGTTAGTGGCGAAGTCCTACAGAGCTGCGGGGCAGGCAGCCGCCTCTTTGCATGCCATGGCCATTCTGCAGGTCTACCAGGCCCAGATGCTCAGGGACATGCACGAGGGCAGGACAGACCCGGGGCTCTTCAATGAGCTGCGCGCCGCCACCGACCTTGCTCTCCGAGCGACGAAGGTGACCGCACGCTCCCTGGGTCTGGTGATGTCCACAGCCGTGGTCCAGGAGAGACACCTCTGGCTTAATCTTGCTGATGTGGAGGATGCCGAGCGGTCCCGGCTGCTCGACACCCCCATATCGCAAGATGGCCTTTTCGGCGGTGCAGTCGAGGATTTTCCCCAACAGTTCTCGACTGCCCAGAAACAGACTGAGGCTATTAAGCACATTCTGCCCCGACGGCCCGCTGCTGCCTCCACTCAGCCGACCGGGCAGAATACTCAGTCTGTTTCCCGCCGAGGGCGCCCTCCTACGGCTCCCACCCCTCCCGCCCGGCCCAAGCAGCAGCCTTCACCCGGGCCCGGTCGCGGAGGAGGCCGTAGGAAGGCGCCCCAGCCCTCTCCAGTCCCGCCCCCCGCTAAATGCCGGGTCAAGCGGCGCTCCTGAGACGGGCTGCTCAGGGATGATGTACACTTCTCAGGAGGTGGTAGCAGGACCACTCCTTCCCCCGGTGGAGGGCCGGGGGAGAATCTTGAGAGAAGTGACACATTCATCTCTGAGCACACAGAGTTCTCGGACGACACGGTGCGCCGCCCCCGGGCCGTGCACCCCTCGTCCTCCTCTGTCCCAGAGCCGGATGACAGTGCGCGCCGTCCACGGACCGTACCACTCTCATCCTCCTCTGTCGCCAGACCCCTGGCAGAGCAGACCCCCGTGGAACGTTCGTCCTTCCCTGGTCTGCTCTGTCAGGACGCGGTCTATGACTGTACCCCCACTCCGGGCCGCTATGCCGTCCACGTCTGGGTCAGTCATACCGCCTCGCTGCCCCACCGACGGGAAGTCTGTGGTTCGCATGACCCCGCTGGTTCAGTCCTTGGGAGCTTGGCTAGAGCTTCCCAACCTGTCCCGCTGGGTCGCACGAACGATCAGGCTCGGCTACGCGATTCAGTTCGCGCGGTCTCCTCCCCGCTTCAGGGGAGTCCGCTCCACTATGGTCGGTGGCAATGCCCCTATCATGAGAGCGGAGGTTGCTACCCTGCTGGCGAAGGGTGCGATCGAGACTGTCCCTCCAGCCGAAATGAGGTCCGGGTTTTACAGCCCCTACTTCATTGTCCCGAAGAAAACCGGTGGGTTACGGCCAATCCTGGACCTGCGCGTATTGAACCGCTCCCTTCACAGGCTGCCGTTCAAGATGCTCACCGCCAAACGCGTTTTCGAATGTGTGCGGCACCAGGATTGGTTTGCAGCGATCGACCTGAAGGACGCCTACTTTCATGTCTCCATTCTCCCTCGACACAGACCGTTCCTACGGTTTGCTTTCGAGGGACAGGCATATCAGTACGCAGTTCTCCCATTCGGGCTAGCCCTGTCTCCTCGCGTCTTCACGAAGGTCGTCGAGGCAGCCCTTGTTCCCCTCCGGGAACACGGGGTTCGCATTCTGAACTATCTCGACGACTGGCTGATTCTAGCTCACTCTCGAGATCAGCTTTGCGAACACAGGGATTTGGTACTCCGCCATGTAGCCCGTTTGGGCCTTCGGGTCAACTGGGAGAAGAGCAAACTTTGCCCCGCGCAGAGGATCTCTTTTCTCGGTATGGAGATCGACTCGGTCGCCATGTCCGCGCAGCTTACGAGCGAGCGCGCGCAGTCACTGCTGACTTGCCTGAGACAGTTCGAGGGCAAGAGTGCGGTTCCACTGAAACTTTTTCAGAGGCTCCTGGGGCATATGGCATCTGCAGCCGCGGCAACGCCGCTCGGATTGCTTCATATGAGACCGCTTCAGCTTTGGCTTCGCGACCGAGTCCCGAGGTGGGCATGGCAACACGGCACCCTCCGAGTACCAGTTACTCCGACCTGCCGTCAGACCTTCACCCCGTGGGGGAACCTCAGCTTTCTACGGGCAGGAGTGCCTCTGGAACGAGCTTCCCGGCATGTTGTTGTAACGACAGATGCCTCCACCACGGGCTGGGGTGCCATGTGCAATGGACGTGCTGCCGCGGGCTCCTGGACAGGACCCCACCGCTTATGGCACATCAATTGCCTCGAGTTGCTGGCTGTACAGCTCGCCCTGCGCCGCTTCCGAGCCGTGCTCTCGGGCCAGCATGTACTAGTCCGATCAGACAATACCGCGACCGTAGCGTACATCAACCGTCAAGGTGGTCTGCGCTCCCGCCGTATGTCACAACTCGCCCGCCACCTCCTCTTATGGAGTCAGAAGCATCTGAGGTCGCTTCGAGCCATTTTCATCCCTGGAGCCCTGAACTGTGCAGCCGACGAGCTGTCACGGCTTCAGCCCCTCCCCGGAGATTGGCGACTCCATCCCCAGACGGTTCAGCTGATTTGGGACCAGTTCGGGGACGCACAGATGGATCTGTTTGCCTCTCACGACTCGACCCATTGCGCCCAGTATTATTCCCTGACCGAGGGCACGCTCGGCACGGATGCTCTGGCACACAGCTGGCCGCGGGGCCGCAAATATGCGTTTCCCCCAGTGAGCCTTCTTGCGCAACTCCTGCGCAAGGTCAGGGAGGACGTGGAGCAGGTCACTCTGGTCGCGCCGTACTGGCCCACCCGGACCTGGTTCTCCGAACTTGTACTCCTCGCGACAGCACCTCCTTGGCCCATACCTCTGAGGAAGGACCTACTTTCTCAGGGACGGGGCACCCTATGGCACCCTCGTCCCGATCTTTGGAACCTCCACGTATGGCTCCTGGACGGGACGAGGCAGGTTTGAGTACCCTGCCACCAGCGGTGGCGGCTACCATCACTTCCGCTAGAGCGTCGTCCACGAGACACCTCTATGCGTTGAAGTGGAACCTCTTCGTCAACTGGTGCTCTTCTCACCGAGAAGACCCCCGGAGATGTTCGATCAACGTCGTGCTTTCCTTCCTTCAAGAGGGGTTGGAGCGAAGGCTGTCTCCCTCCACCCTCAAGGTCTATGTCGCCGCTATTGCCGCTCAGCATGATCTTATAGAAGGTAAGTCGGTGGGGAAGCATGACCTGATCGTCAGGTTCCTGAGAGGAGCGAGGAGACTGAATCCTCCTCGCCCTCCTCTCGTTCCCTCTTGGGACCTCGCAGTGGTCTTATCCGCCCTGCGTAGTGCTCCCTTTGAGCCTTTACAGTCAGTCGAGCTTAACTTCCTGTCAATGAAGACGGCGCTTCTGACTGCATTGGCCTCCATCAAGAGGGTAGGGGACCTGCACGCATTCTCCGTTGACGAAGCGTGCCTGGAATTCGGGCCGGCTTACTCTCACGTGATCCTGAGAC